GGAATAATATGATTTCATTTAATAATACCTAATAATACCTATTTATATGTGTTGCTTGTGATATATGGGAGTTGGATGCCTGCTCTGCACTCACTACAGTAGGTATTGTCGTGCGGTTTTATAAGGTTATTTCGGGATTTATTTTAATAATTTAGATCGTTCAGATTTTAAAATATATCGAGTATAATATATTTGTAAAAAATTAAATTAATCGGATATCATTAATTCTTTCATCTACTCACATTTGTATCTTCAAAAATTAAAAGATATTGTGATTTAAAGTATTAAAAAGAATACAAATGTGAGTGGATAAAAGGGTTAACAATATCTAATTAATTTAATTTTTTATAAATATGTTTTACTTAATATACTTTAAAATATAAACAATTCGAATTATCAAAACGACCCCGAAATAAACCCATACGACCACACAGCAGCAGGCACCCATCTCCTGATATATGTATCATATAAGAAACAAAATTTAAATCATGGTCACATGCAAAATTAAATGCCCCGACCGTATCTACTTGTTCCTCTCTGTCTTGTCTAATGGAAAGGAAGAAGATATAAAATAGAGAGACTTTTTTTTTTTTTTTTTTTAAAAATTTACAAAAAAATAAAAAATAAAAAATTTAATTTAACTTTTATAATCAAATAAATTCTAAAAGTTTAATTTTATCAATTTAAATTTTAAAATTTTGATTTATTTTTAATTTAAATTATTTATTTATTTTTGTTAAGTAAAATTGACAAAAAATTAATATTTTAGTTATTTATAATTTTACTTAACGAAAATAGATTGATAATTCAGATTGAAAATAAATTTAAATTTATAGTCAAATTGATAAAGTTAAAAATTTAAGACCTATTTGTTACAAGAGTCAAATTTTGTTTTTGTTTGGATTATACAAAATTAGTGATCTTTTTTTATTATATCAATTATGACTTCATTAAATATTATTAGTAAATACAATAAAATCTTCTTGTTATAATTTTAGTATTTATATTTTTGGATAAAATACAAATACACTCTTTGAAATTTGTTTAAAATACGGATTGTCTCTTGTAATTTTAGAAATTACATCTCGCTCTTTTAAATTACTAATTGCATAATAAGTGGCTCCTTTTATTAATAAATAATAAACCCAATTAACATTTTTTTAAAATTGTTATAGATATATTTCAATTAACAATTCAGGTAATTTTACTATTGTATAACAAATTTAAGAAATTTCATTTTTATGCTAATTTTGTTAAATAAAATTTTTAACAATAAAGTATTTAAAAATTTCAAAACCATAAGGAGCAATCTGTATTTTAAGTAAATTTTAGGGATTGTATTCATAATTTATCCTATATCTTTATAGGATAAATTACATTTTGTCCCCTCTATGTTTGGTCATTTTTGCATTTTTGCTCTTAAATTTTTTCTCAATTTTTTTCTTAAATCTATTTTTTATTCAAAATTAAACAAAAAATGTCACACTAGTTGTCACATGATATAAAAATATTTTATTATATATGACTTACACCTCCAACACACCTAAACTTCAATATAATAATATATTTTTAGGTTATATTGCAACTAACGTGATATTTTCTGTTTAATTTTGAATACAAGTTAATTTTATGAGTAGATTGAAAAAAACTTGAAACATGAAAAGTGAAAAATGATCAAACATAAAGAGGTTAATTTTGATCTTTTATATAAATAAAAATAATATAGGTTAATTTGTAATTTACCCTATAAAAAATGATATTTAAGGCTTTGTTTGAGAATTGGCTAAAATTAATATAAAAAAAATCAAAAAATTATTACATAAAGTTAATCTATTCTCTCTATTTTGTCTATTTTTTTTAAATTAGAAAATTATTAAAAAAAGTTGATTTTCAAATCAACTCTAAATATAAAAAATCTATATTATATATAAAATGAGCACCCATATTAGTGTCATGAAATCTTAATTTCTTTACTCGCAAACAGATTTATCTTGAAACATTGACTTGGGTAAATTATACATTGCACCCTTATACTTTGTATTAAATCTTACTTTGAGCTCTACACATGAAATTATGACAATCAATTCATTACATTTTTAGTCAAATCTCACTTTGATTCCTATACATGAAATCGTGACAATCAACTCCCTGCACTTTTACTCAAATCCCGCTTTGATCCCTACACAAGTGTCAATATCACTTTTCTATTATTTCATTTTTAAATCTTTAATAAAATCTAGTTATGTGATAAAAATTTGACTATGAAATGAGGGTAAGAGAGGAAAATTATTAATATTTTCACCAATACACTTTGTCTTACATGATAAACATATGAGAGTTATATAATATATATATATATATATGTTCGTATGGTAAAAATTAGGATGATAAGGCAAGAAAGTAGAGTTTTTGAAATAAAAAAATGCAATAAATAAATTAAAGAGAAAGAAAAATGAATAGACAAAAAACTGTTAAGATGAAAAGCAGAATTTTGTGATTTTAATTTATGCAAAACCCTGGTTCATCTTCTTAATTGTTCACAATCGGCGTTTTGTTTTAGCTTAATACAGTCATATTTTTATGCAAATCTTGAAATAAAATGTGTATTGGTGAAAAATGTAAATAATTTTCCTTTCTTACCCTCATATAAAAAATGTATGATGATTTTCCTTTCTTACCTTCATATCGTAGTTACATTCTTATCACATTAATAAATTCTGTTAAAAATTTAAATAATTGAGTAACAGCATTGGGATATCAACACTTGTATAGGGACAAAAGTGAAATTTGACTAAAAGTACAGGGAGTTAATTGTTACAATTTCATACACAGGGACCAAAGTGAAATTTGACCAAACGTGTAGGGGTTGACTATCATAATTTCATGTGTAGGGACTATAATGAAATTTAGTGCAAAGTATAAATATGCAAAGTGCAATTTATCCATTGACTTCTTTATGTGACAAGTGGATTAATGGATTTTTTAATTTAAAAAAAAAATTAGTATAAGTGCATTTTTTAATTTAAAAGTAACAATACTATCTTCCCTAATTTATCACCTTTAAATCATACTTTATGATGGGATATTGAAATCAGACCCACGAGATAGAATATTTGATAAATTAAAATTTAACATTTATCACATATCATTAGAGATGAATTTTAAAAATGATAAATTAGATGTTTCAAATATATTTTTTTAAAAGGAAATGTTTTTGATTGGAGGATAGGAACAACATGCTTTATTGTGTCCTAAAATCTTTGGCAGTGTTCTTATTGTGTCGTGAAGTATTGGTTTTCTTATAGTGCAAAATGTTTTTTTTTTTTTTATTAAAAAAAAAAAACATAGATAGATAAAAGAAATGAGATTCTAATGTCAAATGAAAATGATTTTTACCACTTAAGTGGTATATATACAAAATATTTTATTTTATTTTTAGTTAAAGTAATGTTAGAGACCTAAAAATTTATCAAAATTTCTATTAAATGTCTTACATAAATGTGAAATTTATTTATTTATTTATTTTTTTGCCTCTAGCATTTTTTTTAAAAATTATTTGAATTGCATACTACTAGTACTGAACTAATACACAAAGACGGTAATATTTTGGAAAAATTACCACCTAGAAACATTGGGAAATTATTACAAATTCATGATTTTTTTTTTTTATAATTTAACTATTAATATGTATAAAATGTACTATTTGTTTCTAATTTTTTTAAATAATATACAAAATTGAAATAAGTTTTAGCCTAGAAGCGTAGGCCCTACTTGGTTTGTCCGTTGAGAGATTATTTTTGAGATTTTTTAAAAAAAAAATTGCTTAGTTGAAAATTTTTGAAATAAAATTCAAAATTATTTTTTTCTATCCTACAAATCAATCAATTATTTTTTCTCTTACAATCATCTATTCAATTATAAAAAAATTCAAATTATCTCAAATTCTAAAATTCTAAAATTGTTTTCAAAACATATAACAAAACAAAATTTTAGATTTTATAAACTCTTTTTAAAAATTTATTTTTCAAAATTGTTTCACAAATACAGAATAGGTAGAGAAAATTATAGAATGGTCCTGGAGTTCAATACTACCATATTCTCTTATCAATCACCTTTTATTCTATTCCCTCATATTCTTCAATTATTCAATACAAATAATTAATATTCATTTTTTTACAAATTATACTATTATAAAACAACTCGTGGCCATATTTTCTAATAACCGAATAATCAACCAAATTATGAAAAAATTATTGATTAATCTTGAAGCGTCACATGTTTATGACCTACACCAATCACTATTCACAAATTTGTAAATCTCATCATTTTCATCAATTATAATACTATCAGAACAGCACGTGATGATATCCCAAAACTATCTAATAATTTCTCCAGGTGGCGAGTGGTCACATGCCCGAGAAATCGTGGGGATGGGAATAAAAGGGTCCACCACCATGTCGGTTTCTCTGTGGTGCCTTCTTCTTCTTCTTCGTCTTCATGTCTTCTGTAGTGGAAAGATATATGTATATATATATCTATATATTCTGGTTATGACTATCGTGCGCATCAGCTCATACTGTTCTCTCTCTTCCCACTCTCTTTCTCTCTCCCTCTCTCCTATATGTCCTGTACATGGAAAAGGATTTAGGGCACAAGTAGGGTCCACCAAGCAAATTTTAATAATTTTTTAATATTTTATATTAAAAACATATATAAAAATGAAAAATAATATAATAGTTTATGATAATTTTTAATTTTTTAATTAAGGTCAAATTTGACAACTCTAAAATAATCTATCTTTTTATTTTTTATTCATCACATCATTTTTATTTTTTTATACATCTTTTATAAAAAAATAAAAAATATAATTTTTTTAAGTCATCCCAAACAATACCTACAACTGTAGGGTATAAACCAGCCTTAATTTCCTCTTAAAAATGGAGATTATTAATCGGTCACATACATATTTTTCAACAAAAGTGGCTTTCAATCCAATCCAGCATTTCATCTCCATTACGCCCCACCCATCTCCACACTTCCAGTTATCTCTCTCTCTCTCTCTCTCTCTCTCTCTCTCTCACTTTGGTTTCTCTCTCTAGAATTTGGTAGTGGCGCGCTTCGCTTGCTTGTCCGCTTTATGCGCCAAGTTGGTAAAGCCTCCTTTTCCCCCAATTCTTCATTATTCACCTTTTTTTAAGTCTCATCTCTCTCAATCTTCTTTCTCTATCTTTCCTTTTTCTACTTCCATTTTTATTCTTCTCATCACTGGGTCTCATCTCTTTCTCACCAAGATTTCAGTTAGAGCCTAATTTGGGTACTGGGTTGGATTCAATTCTTCAAGTGAGTAAAGTTTGATACATATAGTATAATTTTTTATTAGATATATACACCAGTTTAGTACTTTTTGTGTAATGTTTGTTTATTTATTGAAACCCACATATGTTTAACTTTTCATACTTAATCAATTTTCTTTAAGAGTTGAAAGATTGGATTTTTCTGGGAAAGTTTCATTTTGTTTGATTTAGTTAATATTTTCTTTCATTACCTTGTTCTTGTCTTGTCTTGTCTTCAGCATCTCTGCTTCTCTGTATTTGTGAGTGTGTGTGTTTTAGAAGGTTAAAATTGATTTCAGTTCTTAATTAATGTTCTAATCACATTAGTTTAGTTATCAATGATGATGTGCAAAATTTCCAATGAGTAAAAATATTTTCCCGTGCTAGAGATTCTTCTATTTCCTTGAGATCAATCTGTGGCTTTTGTTGATGTATATCATCAAAAAATATAATAAACAATTTACAAACTTAAAATCAAGTTCTAAGTTTTTTTTTGGTTGTTGGTGGTTGTGAACTTGCCTGTTACTAATTTTGATGCAATTATTACAAATGAATATAACTTCACTGTTGCTTATTTAAAGTTATCGATGAATCGGAAACATCAGTGTCTTGGTGTTTATTTTACTTTTTATTTTTTATTTTTAAAAGCAGTTTTTGTTAGTTATTGTTTCCGTATATAGTCTTTATCATTGCGAACGGATAGTTCTCTGATCATTACTTTAAAGTTTCAAATGATCAATTTAGGATTTGTTTTTATTTTTGGATGATTAGTTTGGTTCCTTGTTGCTTTTCATGGTCATGTTATTAGAAACAATTATGAACTTCCATCAGTTGGTGTACCAATAAGCTGTTTACTTTACCTTTTAAAGTCAATCTTCCCATTGACAAAATTTATGTTGATTTCTTGTTTCCACTCTTTTGACAATCCTGACCCAAATTTTTAAAAGCAAATTTGATATGAAGCACTCCAACGGAAACCAAAATTTTTTCTCAGATTTTAAATAGTTTTTATTATTAAAAAAAAAACACCATTATATCCAAGAACATCTTTGCAAACTGGGATTGGCAAACTCACGTGTCAATTTGGTAAATAAATTATGCTTCAATGACAGCAAATATAACTGTTGGGATTTTGGGTTTTCAAAAGTCTCTCTCTCCGTTTAGTTAAAAAAATGGCAAACCGCAATTTAGTGTAGATTTGAGTTAAAGAGTAAAGAGGGGCTTTGATTGTTTTTTTTTTCTTCTCAAATTTGAATTTGAGTCAAGATTTTAGTGAGGGCTAGATATGTTCTTAGTTCCATTAAGAATCTTTGGCATAATGTACAAGTGCAATCTTTCTTCTCCTTCATAATTGCTTAATCCCACAATTTATTGATGTTGACTAGTTATCTCCCTTGCTTTCCAGATTACTTTTGAGGATTGATTGAGAGAATCAAGGTTGATAGCATGCACTCTTCCGTTATGTTCTGCATGCCTAATTAGAGGTAGAGGAGCATGGAAACTACATTGATCCAGCATTAATGTCATTTCTTTTTCTAGAGATAGAAGATGGAAATTACCATTATCAAAGCGGAGAAAGATGGCCAAAAGAAAGAAGATTCATTACAGAGCACGAGTACGGATAAGAAATTACCAGATGACCGTAGTTTGTCCAAAAGGCCGGTAAAAAAGGTAAAGCCTAAAGATGTGCTGGTATTAAATGTTAGGCAGCAATCACAAAGTGGTGAAAGTTGCATTCGCAACTCATTCCTTCGTAATATTCGCAGCTTAGAAAGTAGGATTCCAAAGCAGATTGTTAGTCTTGATGAAAAGTATCTTTGGCATTGCCTAGAATTGATATATGCCAGTGCAGCAAAAGCAGCCTCATGCAATATTCCAGAGTGTTTGGGTTATTTACAGATGGGTAATTTGTCTGACCACTCGAGTTCACTGAAAATCAGAAATAGTGTTGCTTGTAATTTAACTAAATTTGCTATTGGATGCCCATTGGAAGCTGGGACTGGGAATGTAGTTGTAAACCCTGTTGGAGAATGGATTGTTGGTACAATCACTGGGAGCAAGAGTATTATGAACTTGTTGAAAAGCCCTTTATTTCGCCAATTTGGTGCCGCAGAGAGTGACATTAACTTTGGGAGGACAAATCTAATAGATGATATGAAATCAGTAGGTTCTAATTTTACGAGTTCTCCTGGTTGGTTGAGCATTAGTGCATCACAGAAGCTAGAAAAGAAGGCGGTGGTACTAAAAAATGATAGGTATGGATCTGAACCTGTGCATAAAAGGCTCATTTCTGTATCAAGCACAAACTCTATTTCCTCAGATCAGACTTCTTCGGTGTCCATTGGTATTACTCAGGCAATGCTCCATTGCACATGGAAATCTGGATTTCCTCATTATGTCTTCTCCGTAGATGATCAGAAGGAGGTGTATGTAGCAAACCTAGTTAAGGTTGACTCACCAGATAACACGGTCTTTGATTATATGTACATGTTTCATGGTGGCAGAAAGGAATACGAGGTTCATACAAATGAGTCAGATCTTGTTGGTAAGATGAGAGTATCTACAAAGTATACACATTGCCCCAATAATTCAGAAATCAAAGAGACTCAGTTTGTTTTGTTTGGCTCTGATGCGAGTTCGGTGGGAGAGAAACAACCTTCAAGCCATACACTTAAAAAGCATAAAGGGTTGTCGAGGAAGATGGTAGAGGTATTCAAGCCTAGTCATCCATCTAGGGCAAGGAGCTCCTCCAAATTTGCAGGGACGACTACCATATTTGAAAACTCTACAAAGCCATGTTCAGATTCATTAGGTGCTGCCAAGCTTTCAGATAATTATCTGCCACCAAATCTTGAATTGGCTGCAATTGTCGTGAAAGACCATATTTGTGGCAGTGGGCAGGAGGCAGAAATTGGAGGATGGGGCATGAAATTTCTCAAGAAAGTTGAGACTAGGCAGACTGTTGCATCTGTAGAAGCCTCACCTTCTGATTATTGTCTAAGAAATACCAGTGATTGCTCTACGTGTGTAGACATTCTAATTCCGCTGGTTCATGGTGGCCAAACAAACAGAATTGGTGGGCCCTTCTAGCCTCATTGAGAGATGGAGATCTGGTGGGCGCTGTGACTGTGGTGGCTGGGACATTGGATGTCCACTCACAGTATTCAACACCAGGCCAAGCGAAAAAGAGGCTTTGCCCCAAGCAGATATGCCAGGGGACTGCAGGTCATTTGAATTATTTATTCAGGTGCATCAAGTTCCTTGTACTTTGTTCTATTTTGATTCAAAATTGCGAATGCTTCTTATCTTACGTTACTTGGAAAGTGGATCGGTTTAGTATGTGGAACAGGAATTGGAATGTGGTAAGTGACATGCTCTAAATAAATTGTGGTACAATACCATAGGTAGAGACTTGTATAATTTACACTATAAGAATTTGAGGTATTTATAGTGTAGAGTAATTTTTTTCTAAAACAATTAGACATTCAATAAAATGTTTTTTTTTTTTTTTTTTCCTTCCAAATTAATCATATAGCAACATATTTTTATTATATGAGATTATGATGATCCATTTTTACCTTTTGTCATGTCAATCTCACTCACTTCAGATTTAGTTCATTATATTTGAGTTTTTTTTTACCATTTTGGGACGAAAGTATACCATGTTTTGAAATGTGTGTTTCAAAATGTAATTCGTTAGTGTATCATTGTTTTGTGGTAACACTGTGCTCATCTTTGTAACCCCCTTCCTATCGACCATTGAAGTTATATACTGTTTGAATATTCAATGTACAAGCCTCTTTCAGTATTTCTAAACTTGAGCAACTTTGAGCTGATCATGGCCAGCTTCAATTTTGCAGGGCTCAACGCAATGTGCAACACCTATCATGAAAATGATGAATATTCGTGATGATTTGTATTTTATTAATTACCAATCAACTCTATCCGCTTTACAATCTTTCTCGATTGCCGTGGCAATTATTCATACTCGGAGTCCTGCCCTCCAACCCAAAGTGTACAGGAGTTGAAGTTGCAAGAATCAAGGAGGTTTATGTAGTTTTAGTGCTCATAGTTTAATACAGTCAGTGAAATTATTTATACAGAAATCGAGATGTGTATTTTTATGTATTATTGGTGTTGATTGTCTATTGTTAGATTATTGTCTGATATTTGAGGTTAGCTGGTATCAATATAGCTAACTTCTTGTCACGTGTCTCATTAGGCAGACATAAATCCTGTAATCCATCTCTTTTTGACTGACTGTAGAAGGGTTTTATTTAGAGTGAATTTGATTTTATTTGTCAATATATTTTGTCATACATGAAATTGTTTCTGCAATAATTCACTACCCTGTGGATCCTGGTTTGTGTATGCTTCTTCTATTTTTTTAATTTTACTATTTATTTTTTGTAAACTCTCTTTATTCTTGCTATTTTGTTTACATAATGGATGGAGTCACAGCCCTTCAATTTTGATATTGAGTGCACGGGTTATGCCATTATGGTGTCATGCATTGATTTAGAAGGTACAAAATTGGTGGTTACTTGAGAGCCTTCCATTTCAAGTGCTGAAAAAGCCTTTGATGTTTGAGTTCTTGTTTTGCAGTACTAGTCTTTTATTCTAGTAGATTCTTTTGGGTGATTTGTGAGCTCTTATGGATAGTTTGATATAGATCACACTTCTGTATACTCACTCCTATTGCACAGGTTGCACTCCATTTATTTGGTGTCCTCTCTCTCTCTCTCTCTCTCTCTCTCTCTCAAGTTTTTCTTTCTTTATTGTTATTTGATCTTCATAGTCATTAGGCATTGGTTTAATCAATGGGCCATTAGCGTTTGTGGTGTCTCCCCAAAACATAACTTTTACTTTCATTTATGTTGAGCAATGATCAATAGAGCAAACAGTGAACAATGAGTGTCTTTTCTTGGAGTAGTTATGTTTTGTTGGACTATTAGGTTGATTGTGTGTGCTTATGGGATTTACTTGCATGACCTGAAAAATAGGAATTATAGTGGAATTTTATGTAACACTATCAGTTGAGCAGACAATCATTGTTTGGATGGACTGGATAAGGGAGGATTGTAATCCATCGGACTGTTAGTCCCGGGATACATTGTCCCTGGACTATTTGATTGGACTGGATTTGTATCTTATGTTTGTTTAGTCATGGGATTAGATGTCTGGATTAGACTATTTTTAATGAATCCAATGTTTAGTTAGACGGACTGGATAAGGATAAATGTTCAAAAGATTATTTTATCTTTGTAATTTATAATTTTTATTTAATATATAATTTTAAATTTGTAATCTATAATTTATAATTTAACAACGCTAAAAAAATTTAATTTATAAGGACATAATTTTTAATTTATTATTTTCAATTAAATTTAATTTATAATTTATAATTTATATTTTTTATTTAATATATAATTTTAAATTAATGGCAATAAAAAATTAATTTTATTTAATATATAAATTAAATTTTCAACAACACTAAAAAAATTTAATTTATAAGGCCATAATTTATAATTTATTATTTTTAAATAAATTTAATTTATAATTTATAATTTTTATTTAATATATAATTTTAAATTAACAACACTAAAAAAATATTTTTAGAGAAATATGTAAATTTAATTTTTTAACAATACTAAAAAAAATTAATTTATGAGGCCATAATTTTTAATTTATTATTTTTAATTAAATTTAATTTATAATTTATAATTTAATTTTTTTATTTAATATATAATTTTAAATTATCAACACCAAAAAAATAATTTATAAATGTTCAAAAGACTATTTTACCCTTTCTAATTGTTTACTAAGTAATAGCATGGAGGGTAAAATGGACATTTTACCAAATAATCTCATGGGATACCAATCCTATGGTTTCTATCCCACACCCCCCATGGGATAGAATAGTCTCATCGGAACAAAATTTTGCAAACAAACAATGAACTATTAGTCTGGTGGGACTAATAATCCAATCCCACACCCTTATCCCTCAAAACAAACATGATCGTAGTGTTTATGCTTTCTCTTTGCCATTTTACATGTGATACGCTCATGTGATCTTGAGGTTGTTTGTCCACTTGGAGTGTGGAGTTTTTTTTTTGGGTGAATAAAGTGTGGAGTTACATTAGCCATATAATGTGACAATCCGTCGTGCTTTCTCATTTTGCTTTTGGAAATTGGTTTTTTTAATTATTTTTTAATTTTTTACAAAAAAATATGTAGAAAAATAGATAAAATAATTTGACGATTTATAGTCCTTTTTGATTAAAAACTCTAGTTTCCAAACAAGGTCTGGCCCTTCCCCACTTTTCTCAAGCAAACTGCACCAACTTGCTTGCTACAATGCTTTTGTCAATGAAGAGGGTCAATCTAGCCTGACGGGTTGAGATTGGGCCGAGCACCCATTGGGCTTTGGGCCGGACTGCTATGCTTGTTTGAGCCAAACGGACATAGGGCCAAGTCGTTTTCGATACAGGCCGAACACCCAAAAGCAAGACAAGGGTACGATGTGTAAAATTGGCCGAGCGGCCCAGCAGCCTAGGGAAGACCCGTAGTATGGTGGTAGGAATGGGTTTGGTTCGGTGGAGAGAATGGTCAAAAATAAATGGAGGTGGTAGTGGATGTAGTGTTGGAAGATAAAATAATATAAATATATTTTTACAAGTTAATAGAGTTAGTGTTGTAATTTAGTTTAAAATTATGTGGGCGAATGAGTATTTTTATTCTTTTAAAGTGGGGAAAATCTGTTGTAAAATTTTACGATTCTTCAACTCTACTTTGGCCAAACCATCTAGATTGTAGTAAGCTTAAAATATTTGCAGAGTATTAGAGAAGTTCTAGAGGTTATACCTTATTTTGGAATCTTCATACATTATCTCTGATGTTCATATTGGTAATTCTCATTTCATCATCTGTCTCCATGTAGGGAATGATTTAGCTATCAAAATTTAAGAATCTTGACGCCCATCTTTTCTCCAAGTCTTTGTTGTCTTTTAAGATTTCACTTACAGAATAATTTGTTTTTTTTTTTTTTTTTTTTTTTTCCTGTACCCATGATTTCGTGGGTCTTTCATGGTTACTGTGATTAGTGCCCTTTACCATTCAAATCTTCTTAATTCGTATGTTCATATTCTTATTGCATGGACAAGAAGAGATGTAATGACCTTTTTTTTCTACAATAATGACAAGTAATGTGAGGATAAGCCATAGATGGTGCTTTTTTAAAAATTGTTTTGAGATTTTTTGTTTCTTTAAAGAATCATATCCAATGCTTGCTTTGTCAAAAACACACATCTGATTTCCAAGTAACTTATTTGAATTTTCTTTTCTTTGTGTGAATTTAAAAATTATTTTGTTTAAATCTTCTATATTTTCTTTTACAGAATTATTCTTAATTTTCAAATCATTAGAAGAATTTTTGAGAGAATCATTTTTCTTTTTTAAGGAATCATTTTTTATTTTTAAATCATTTAGTTCCTTTTGTAAAATAGGAGATTCTTTTAATTTTAAAATATCATTTTCTTCTTTTATTTTTTAAAAATCTTTTTGTAATATTTCAATTTTATTAGATAAAAATTTATTTTCTTTTGTTGAACTTGAAAGTAATTTTTTAAGATAATATTTTTAGTGCCAATTTTTCAAAATTTATCATGCAATTCTTCAAATGCATATCATAATTAATCAAAAGAATAGTGTTCATCATTACAATCACATACCTCATCATCTTCTTTTGTCATTAAGTATTGGTGAGATACTTCATTGTTATCGCTTTCCTCATTGGAGCAATATTCATTATCATCTCCATATGCGAATTTTACTACTTCTGTGATTTCATTTACTTGAGTTGTGCCTCTGTATATGATTTTTAATTTTTCCCAAATCTATTTTGCTGTCTCACAAGTACAAATTCTATCATATTCATTAGGATCAAGCGCACAATACAAAATTTTGCTTTAGCATTTGTTTGAATATTTCTAATATCATTCCCATCTCATTCTTTTTTTGTTTTAGGAATTTTCTTTGTATCTACGATTTTGGAAGGAATAATTTAACCATTTTTAATAATCTTCCATACCATGTAGTCTGTTCCTTGAATATATATTATCATTTTATTTTTTCAATAATTGTAATTATCATCAGTAAAATATGGAGGGTTGGAAGGTGAGTGACCATCAATAGTTTGTGTTCTTATAGTGATTGCCATTGACAAACTCTAAGACTGTTAAGTGACAAAATATTAGAGCCCCTTACTTTGATACCAATTATTATTCTATGTAGGCAACCTAAGAGGGGGTGAATTGGGTTATTGAAAATAATTTCATAATATTAAATATAATAATCAAAATATTCGAATTTTAACAAATAAAAACAGAGCAATAATAATCAATATAAAAGTGAAAGTGATAGGGACAGAAAAAGAAAATCAAACACGGTGATTTATAGTGGTTCGGCACGCTAGGCCTACGTCCACTTCCCAAGTATTCTCCTCGAGAATTTCCCCACTATTCTTCAAATAGGAATACACCATTAGCTTCACGGGTGCTAGTAAACCTTTATAATAAGTGACAAATCCCGATCACTCTAACTAGTTTTGAATCCGGTGCCTAGTCATACCTAACCAAGTGATTTTATCTCAAAAATCACTCATAAAAACTCTCTCTATTACAAGAATAATAGGAGTAAGGGATAGAAAACCCTTTTATAATTTTGCTCAAATTCTCGATAAATTTTTTCATAGAAAATATAACTCAATGAAGCACAATACACTATTTGAGAATATTTCAATATCACTGATTTTTCTCTTCTTCACTTCATATATATATTTTTTATAACCAAAATACTCCTAATATAATAGAAAATTAAATTCGTTGGAGGAGAAAACGCTCCTCTTTTGATCACAAGGCGCTTTACGCAGCACGAGCACCTTTTATTTTTTCTTCTTCAGAAATGGTAGGCGGAAGTTTGAATTAGCCTCCGTTTGGGAAGTGGGTTGGCTTTTTGACTTTTTGACTTTTTGGTGAGGCGTCTTCCTGTTAAATTACCAATATGCCCTTTTTGGCTTTATTTTTTTTATTTTTTTATTTTGGGTTTGGATTTGGCAAATTTTGCTTAAATGTTATTTATTTATTTATTTATTATTTTTGATTTGGATTTGGCGTATTTTGCTTAAATTTTTTTTATTTTTTTATTTTGAGTTTGGATTTGGCGTATTTTGCTTACATTTTATTTTTTTATTTTTTTATTTTGGGTTTGGATTTGGTGTATTTTGCTTTTAATTTTTTTTTATTTTGGGCTAGGATTTGGCGTATTTTGCTTAATTTTTT